CTAAGGCAATTTATGCACCCGGACTTTACTTTTGTAATACCACTTTAGTAATTTGTAATTAATAAAATAAATCTGCAAGTAAGATGCATTATTATTGATCATAACCTAATATTTAATTACAAAACAATATGATATATACCAAACGATTTTTTCAAGTAGCATTAAATTATAAAATTTCCTGCAACATTCATATTTTTAAGGAGATTATTGACTTTTCATGCAAATTTTACTCACAGGGACAGCGAAAACTGGACGGAGCACAAAACTTCACCTATGGATTTCAGATTTTTGTTCAGTCGCACTACTGTTCATGCATTCTTTGTTTCTTTATTTACAGTTTTACTATTTTGAAATACCAATTGGTATCTTGATAATGCTTTGATGTTTATTTATATTTCATTGTTCATAGATAGATTTTTTATTCTGCAACAGATTTCATACAGAATCCTGTTGGATGCATCTATAAACATTTCTTTCATTAGTTCTGGCATATGCCATGAGTTGCATGATTCTTTCTTTAAAGCTCATTTCATTATGTACTCGCTCAGCCCAAAAGTTTGTGCAGATTTTATGTCCGGCATAAGCTAAATTGAGAAGTAAAATATTAATCAGCATTACTCGTAACAGAAGCTTGGCTGTTGCCACTGTAGTTGCTTGCTAAGAGTCAGGCAGCCAACTGACCAGAACAGACATGAACACCTCACATTTTGACAGTTGGTAAGTGTTGAAAGTTAGCTGCACTTTGCCTGATCCAGTTAGTGTCATAGCTTCGTGCTGATTTACTGTAACCTAGTTCATATACAGTTTGAATCAGTGGCTGAAGCACCCAAGGTGTTAGGTTGTTTTGTATTATTTTAAGCCTCATTAACTGTGAGGAATAAAGTTTTATTTAAAATTTTACATTTTTGTGTTGTATCTTACACCACAATTAGGATTAAGAAAAGGCAATAACTCACCTTAATAAGTAGAAAAGGGTGAGCAGTTAGTTACAAATAAGTAAGTTAGGCAGTTAGATATTCCTAGTCATAACAGATTTACATAGTTACAAACAGAACTTTTTTTTTTTTTTTTTAAATTTCTAAAAATATCCATTCAAAAAGCCCTAAAAACATATATGCTATTGATTCTAAAATGATACTAGCATACTTATACATTAAAAACTACAAAACATTTACACATATTTTTTATTTGAAAAATTTCCAGATATTTTAGTTAATTTACAAGAATTTCCTTCTTTTTAGCATCTTTCCCAATTTATTTCAATAAACAAGTCAATGTTCTCACTAATCTCTCCTTCATCTTTTAATTTGTTAATGTTTCAACAATGTACATTTAAGGAATAATTTTCTCTTTATAAAATCCATTTTTTCTTCAACGAGTTTTCTCTTCTTTTTAGAATTTTCATATTTAAATAAAGATTTCCATTACTTAAAGATCTGGTTAGAATGTCGACCAAATTCTGCTATTGATGAATTAGCAGCCACCACATTTTTAGGTTAGGTGCCACTGCTGAGACTATTAATTTTTTCAGCAGGAAACATGAAAAATCAGCTGTGCCTCTGCTGATATTCAAACCATGAATCTTCCAATGGCTAGCTGAACATGTTAAACATGTATACCATGACAGCATGCATGGTGGATTCGACAATTCCTTATACTGCTACTGTTAATTATGTTTAACATTCAGGATCAGGATCACATATATACATGATCATGTGATTCTCCCTTCACAGCCCATGGTATCATTACATGTGTAAAGCCTTGCTCATTCTTGAGGGCCATGATCACACTGGAGCGATTTCAAATTGGTACATTTTATTTACTTTTTAAAATGACACTAGAATTCTGTTATATTTTCAAACAATCTTCCACCAGTAGTTACTTCAATATACGTTTTTGGGACTTTTCACCCCACAGTAGCGTTAGCTCAGAAGGGCTATTAGTGTCAAAACGAGATTTTGCATCGAATCACTTTTGAAATTGTTGCTACCAAATTTTACCCCTCATATTATTTTAAAAGAAATTAAAAAATAAAGAATGTGAATTAATGCAGGTAATTTCTCACACTGTGAATAGTTTCATTATCTAATTCACATATTGTAAAACTTTATGAATTTTTGATTTACAAACTCAATGATTGCAAAGTGAGCAATGGCAACACTGTACAGGAAGGGGGAAAAAATATCTCCAATGTCTATCAAAAATTCTAAAGCTATGCAGTTTATAAATATTTTGTGATAATGTAATTGTGATAATAAATTTCTGTTCAATTGAAAAAAAAGGGGGGGGGCTAGTTCTACATCTCCTGGTGTACTTGGCCGATTGACAAAATTCAACTTGCGTTTTTCATGTCTCGAAAGCGCAACTTAGGATATATATTAGATTTATGTATAGCATTGTTCTAATATAGGTATTCTAACACAAAATCGGACTCTCCAATTTCTGTAAATTTAAAAGCAACAGTAATGTAGCACAATTCTGCTTCTCCAGTTTGAATCACAAATGTATAGCTACCAATCTTGACATCTTAAAAACCATGAGGAACTTGGAAGGTTTTCATACTGTGGAGCACACCATTTCAAAAAAGTCCACACTAACTTAATTTTATAATGCTTTGTTCAGATTTTTAAACAATTTGTAATTCAATTCTGATGTAAAACATATTAGCATTTAATTGGATATTCTAAATTTTATGTTCTTTGGTTTCATTTTAAAATTTTTTTACACTTTTATACCAAAAAAACCCTAAGCAATGAAGGAAAGTTTTTATATTTATCAAAGCACTTTTAAATGCGATGAAAATAAAATTAATAATTAATGTACACTCTGCCCCCCCCCCGAAAAAAGAGGACCGTTCTATATCTGGGTATCAACTGGGTCGGTTGATGAAATTCAACTTGCGTTTTTCATGTCTCGAAAGCACGACTTAGGACATGTATTAGATTTATATATAGCACTGTTCTAATATAGGTATTTTGACACAAAATCAGACTTTTTCTGAAATAGCATACCAATGTTTTTCCATATTTCAATTCTACGACTCAAATTATGCCAAACTACCAAGTTTTGTAAAAATTGCAAGAGTAGTTTTTCAAAAATTAGCTCTCAAAATTTTAGCTCCTCAATGTCAATTGAGTATATATTTATTAATATCTCTTTTTTTTATTAAGCTTATTTGATTCTTCCTTTCACATTTTGAAATTCACGTTCATTCCAAATAAAATTCACCCATTTTTTTTTTATTTATTTTTTAAATTTGTATTTTTAAATAATTTTTATAAATTTTTCAAAAAATTTCTAATTGTAATCTATAAAATTTTTACCATCTTCTTAAAGTAGATGTATTTCTAAGCATACCTTCAAAAATTACAATTTTTTATTTAAAATTTCTGAAGAGATACGTGAATTTATATATTGGTGTGTTTTGAATTTGGCATGTTTGTTGAAAGCGGTAAAATATCAAATGTTGTTTAAACACTTCGCTAAAATTATTTGGAAGTAGAAACGATGTGACTTTTTTCTGCTCATGCACAATGTAAAAAGAGAGGAACGAGATCGCTAAGATAATGTAAAAAGATAGGAACGCTTTTTTTTTTTTCTTCTGCATAATAGAAGGGAAAGGAAAATTGGTTGCCATATATTAAGAAGTTCGCCAAGTGAATTATTCTTGGCCAAACTGAAAAAATTTCGCCAAGATAAAATTTTTAATTTCTCTGTAAATTACACAAATTTAATATCTAGGCAGAATTTGAGTCATAGAATCAAAATATGGAAAAAAATGGCTACGTTATTTCAGAAAATGTCTGAATTTGTGTCAAAATACCTATGTTAGAATAATGCTACATATAAATCTAATATATATCCTAAGTCTTGCTATCGAGACATGAAAAACGCAATTTGAATTTTGTCAATCGGCCCAGTAGAATGGAAGTCCCCCCTTTTTTTGCGCAGTTTACATGGATTCTAATATGAGGTATAAGCAAATTTATATGTTAAACTAGAAACAACAACAAAGTATCATTCATTCAGTTACATTTATGAAATTTGTTTGGATATATCATAATTTTAGTAATAACTTGTTCAAAGTTTTAAAGCATCCATCCCCCTGATAATGTATATAACTAATGACAGTTTTCTTTAAAATTTGCAATTTTTTTATCTATGAAAACTTTATTACAGTACCAGATATTAGCACTGATAGAAAACTGTAAATCTTAGTGTATTTACTTGCAGTAATAATTTTAAATGAAATCAGGCTTAATGAGGGAAATATGCAGGTCCTATGCATTTGTATATTTTCAGAGCTTACGGGCCTTGGGGAGGGCTTCTTTCTGCTTTCACTCGTCACAAACACGTTAAAGGCGACTGCAAACAACACAATCGAGCATGAAATGATCGAGTGATAATTAAAATTCCATCATCCAATAATTATTTACCATCAAATATTCAAAATAACATAATAAAGATATTGCATTGCAGAAAGCAATACACAATAATAAAATGGTTGCTATTATAAATAAAAGTTATAATTCTTTAAATTAATTATTTCAGATGATCATATTGCAATAATAAAAAGTACTTGTTAAACTTTGTCCATTAAACACTTTATCAAAAATTTACTTCACTTGTACATTATACAACTTACTCAGCCTTTTAATTTTCATGAAATCCAATAAAATATACTAATGCAATTAAAGCTGTGAAATAATGTGCAGTGCACAAAGAAGAATCAGTCCCATGCAGTTTCACACAGGAAGTGTTCATAAAAATTTTGCTTGATCAATTAAACTTTGTAAAAATTTTAAATGACAAAATGTCAATAAATTTACTGTCATTGCATATCTTACTGAAGAATTACATGAAAAATAATGCCTTTAAAATAAGTTTTTTTTTATCCACAGCCAATAGAATATTGAAATTTAATCATTAAGTGTAATGGAAAGTTATACTTAGCCACTTTCTTAAATTGGCACGAAACACCATAGGAAAATAATCCCAAAACCTTAAATCATTTTTTATTCATACTGAAGAATATATATATTCTTTTAACTGATTAGGTCAGCCCACAGAGGAAAAACATGCAAATGAATGACAAGATTACAAAAATGTATCTACAAGAAAAAAAAAAAAAGTAGGGTATAATGTCTCAAAAACAAAGTATCACATCCATTTAAAAGCATTTAATTAAATAGTTGAAAAAAAGAGCAGTAGTTTTTAAATAGTTAAAGAACACAATTTACATATTATCTATATTGTAACAAAAATGTTGCTAAAATAACACACACTAAAATAACACGCATACACAGCAATACTTGCATTATCCCCCCTTTAATCACAGTCTAATTAAATTTATTCATTTAATTAAAATATCTTTTCTTTAATTAACATGCAATATCCATAAAAATTCATGTATATGAAGACACAGGCAGACATAACTAATTATAAATAAAATCTCAACAGAAAAATTCCATTTATGATTTTGTTTCAATTAAGCCTTGCCCCCCTTCAGAATAAACTGCTTACAAGTGAAGACTTTCCACATGCACAAAAGAAAAAACAGTTTCTCAAGTTTTAATTCATCACAGGATGTGAGCATTTTTAATAACACTCAGCAATGTAGGATACAATTTGACCCCCCTTTCGGGGCATATTAACACCCTAATCAGAAATTAAAATATCTTTTTAATGTTTTACTTTACAAAATCATATAAAAAGTTTAGTAAAAAAAAGCCCCTGTAAGATTATTTTAGTAAAAAAAAATTGTTGCAACCAATACGAACACAATAAATTACAAAATAGCTTAATACAATTTATACCCCCCCCAAAAAAAATCTTACAGTACATGATAAAGACTTATACTATTTCATTTTTCTAGCACTCATTTTTTCTTGTTTTTAATTCCTTGATGATGAAGGCAACTTTTTATTATTATTTCTTAATTTGTACACCATGCAATCAACGGGAAAAGCAAGTACTGGGGGAACATAAAACTGTACAACTGCTGGAGCTAAACTGTGAAGTATGGTAGCCAATATTGCTGCATAAACAAATAAGACAGCAGAGCATCACAGGGCCTTACAAACATATTCACAAATTGGACTTGCTTATATATAAAACTTCAAAGTACTGTCTCAAAAGTTCAAGTTTCATAGTGCACGCATATCAAAGAAAAAGAAATGTCAAGTTGAAAATTCTTTATTACAAGACCTTTCTGTAGATGCCTAGATTGAACCTTGTTTGCTTAGTTTAAGACATCATTACTAACATCTGACAAACAAAGCTGTGCAGTCTATCCCCTTGACCACAGTGCTCAATGTCTATTACAGGAAAACACTGTTCTAATAGTCTTGGCTCACAGTCTGTCTCAGCAGGCAGATCTTTCATATAAAAAAAGAGGAAGATTGAGAAAAACAGTGCAGATGGCACAGATTTCATGGACAGTTCTGTTGCCACTTTCCACACTTAAGTGCAATTTCTTGAGAAACAAAGGCCTCTGAGTGTCCTGCAACTGAACCATTAATGAATTCAGAAGCTCTACTTCTTACAACTTTTTCCATCTGATGCACACTTTAACTCTGCAGAAAGGTCTCCAGAAACACTACAAATTGTGAGAAGGAACGCATACTTCTGTAACATTTGTACAATCATGAAAGACTGAATGCACAGTTGTCCAGCAGAGAGGGGCAGCTGCAAGGCTGGAAAAAGCTGTCGCCTGAAAAAGACAATTATCATTCAAAATTCATACAAAACTGAAAATATTCTCTATTTCTGCACTATAACACAAACATAAATAATATAATCATGGTATATGCACACACATGTCAGGTCATCTCATCATATAAATAACGGGGTTTGGGGAAAACAGGTATAATTTTTTTTTCAAATATTTTATTATTTAAGTTCATTAAATATGTTTGTTATAACAATACAAAAGCTTATTTCTTACATATACTGAAACATAACAAATGAATATATAGGAATAAATAAAATTTTAAGTTACAATTTATATTTTAGATCATTTATTTTTTTATTTTTTATTTTTTTTTTTTTACATTTCTAATTTTCTGTTTTTCCTTTTTTTTTTATCAAAAAGGCACCTAATGTCATTTGCATTTTTCTTTTGTGCTCCTTAAGAAGTTGTCGATAAGCAAACAAGGTATCCACGACACTCCATCTTGCCTTTGAACTCCTATCAAAATCTGCATTATTTTCAACAAATGAGTCCATAACTTGTTATGGAAGTTAAACTGGTTTTTAGAAGTTCTTTTTGTTTTTTCATTAAAAGTTCTTTTTGCTCTTCTTCAGAATTGCTATTTTTAATACTTTTGTGTTCTTGATTCACAAATTCCTTGAGCACATCATTAAAATGACTTTCTGAATTTTTACAAAATTTCCTCCAGATTTTCCACATTTACTTCATCAACTTGTTTGTTTCTAGTGTCATCGTCCTTCTTTAAATCTGGCCAAATGATTTCTACACTCCTTTCACACATTTTTTTTTTTTTTGTAACCTCATTCCAAAAGAAATTTGTTTTCTACCGCATCCATGATATTCTAGTTCCTCGAAAAATCTCTTATTGATTGTTTACCATCACAGTCTTTTTTTCAATCATTTGTCTAAATGTTCGTTCCAATTAATAAGCTTTAAAATTAGATATAACACCTAGATTGATCAGTCGGATAAATGCAGTTATGTTACAAGGCAAGAAAACTACTTTGAATGGACTCTATGTTAATCAGATAAATTTGTTGGGTGGCTTGGAGAATTCATTACCTATTAAAAGTAGCACGTTTGGTTCAAGTTTTTTGATTTCACAATCTTCTTCAGAATTGCTATTTTTAATACTTTTGTGTTCTTGATTCACAAATTCCTTGAGCACATCATTAAAATGACTTTCTGAATTTTTACAAAATTTCCTCCAGATTTTCCACATTTACTTCATCAACTTGTTTCTAGTGTCATCGTCCTTCTTTAAATCTGGCCAAATGATTTCTACACTCCTTTCACACATTTTTTTTTTTTTTTTTTTTTTGTAACCTCATTCCAAGAGAAATTTGTTTTCTACCGCATCCATGATATTCTAGTTCCTCCAAAAATCTCTTATTGATTGTTTACCATCACAGTCTTTTTTTCAATCATTTGTCTAAATGTTCGTTCCAATTAATAAGCTTTAAAATTAGATATAACACCTAGATTGATCAGTCGGATAAATGCAGTTATGTTACAAGGCAAGAAAACTACTTTGAATGGACTCTATGTTAATCAGATAAATTTGTTGGGTGGCTTGGAGAATTCATTACCTATTAAAAGTAGCACGTTTGGTTCAAGTTTTTTGATTTCACAATATTGTTTAACAGACAGGCAAAAATGTTCAGTGGATAAATTCTGGACAATTTCTGGCAAAAAAAAGTTATCCTTAATTTTTTTTATTAGACTCCAAAATTAGATATTAATAAGTTCATTTTGCTATTCCTTTCAACACTCTTAGGTTTTTGGAGTGATAAACAAGAAGTGACTTTAAATTGAAGTCTCCAAAAATTTCAGTTGTGTCAGCTGTTTCAATCTGAGTATGATTAAAAATTCTTGCTTTTTTTATTATAATATCTTGGCTTAATCGCATATTATGTTAAATTTTGTTGTCAATCCACACAAAAAGTTGTATTTCCATCTACTCCATCATATTATTTCTAGAATGGGTTATTCTAATTGCAGAGGATTTTGTAGTTGCTTTTGTAATTTAATATGTATATTGAATAGCTCAACAGCCATCCGTGAACTATTCCTTTTCACTCAAGAATTTAAATTTATAAGTTTGTTGAATCAAGATGAGCACAAATATTATCAGTACGTTTTTAGATATACTGATGACATAATTGCCTTTAACAACTACAACAAACTGGAAAATGCAAATATTTATCCTACTAGCCTTAAGCTTAACACAACCAACGCACAGCAAATTGCCACCTTCAAATTATCAATTACAATCTTATTAAAATTTATGACAATAGCAGAGATTTCAAATTCTACACGCTTACAAACTGGACTTCTAACATTTCGAAAAAGGTCACAGTTTATCAATTCACAACTTCTAAGAATTAAAAGAATCTGTAATAACACAGATCTTCTACAAGAAGAAATACTTTACTTCATTAGTATCTTACAGTGAAATCAAATATCTAAAGCAGTTATTAAAACATATTTAAAAAAAGCTGGCATTTACCTATTATTTTAAAGTACTTGTTTTAGTGATATGGAATTTTTCTCCCAAACTCGAAAGGAAGGTGGATAATGGATGATTGAAATGAGTAATCTAATGTAAAAATGTAACATAGCTTCTCAGTTCTCCAAACTCTTTTCTCTCACAATTTGGTCTAGAAATTCAGTATATTTACTATAAATATTACGACTTACTGGACAACCTTTCCTTGTTATTTATTTTAAGGGCCTTTTTTTCTTTCAAAGACACCTCAGGGCCTGTTAGCACAAAGAATTAAAACTTTAAACTAACATTTTTCTTATTTCTCCATTTCTTCTTCTTTTTAGCCAGTTTAACAAATGCACAGCATTTTAGCCATCTTGTTTAAGTTCTCGCTTCTAGGTACAACAATTTCCTTTGCACAACGCCATTTTGAAAGAGTTGCATTCCTCGATCCCTCTCAACCCCCGAATTTCTTTCCTCACAAGCCGGACAGTACCATTGGCTTCTGCTAAAATACATTAACTTGCTTCCATGTCATACTCCTCCAATAGGTGGAATTTGACTGTTTTTTCATTCTGGTAGCACTCATAAGGCCTTCATTACTTTCTGGGAACCTTTTTCCTGTTTAATTTTGGAAAGAAAACACGTAGGACGCAGGTATGTTGCTCTTTTGTTCATTAATTTTTTTCAAGAATTCTTAGCTTTAAGGTCTTAACAGGACCCCTCATTGTCTTTATTATTTTTTTTCATTAGGATAAAGTTTTTACTTTTTGAGCTTAGGGGCCAGTCCCTTGAAATGTTTATTAATTACTTGCAGGTTTAACACTGCAAAATTTGTTTCTACATTTGCCTAACCAGCCTACTTTGTATAGGATTTTTCTTATATCTTTTTGATCATTTTTCTTTTTTAGATTACAAGTTTTTTCTTGTTTAAAAATTTTTTTAACTTTTTTAGTTCAATTTTGTGTTTTCTCACGCGCAGGCATGTCGGGAAAAGGGACAGATCAATTGAGACATTGTTCATAATAAAAAAATTAAAAACAAAATTTTAATTAAATTTGATATGAAAGCCAATTTCAGTCTCAATGGATCTGTTCGACAAAATGTGCATATTTTCTGGTAAATCGGATTGGTTGGAGGCTTCGGGCACTTTTTCCTTGACAAGTTTTGCGTGAGGCCTTGAACAAAGTGGATTGACCATGTTTTTTCTATGTAATATTTCTCTGTACTATATTAGTTTTTTAGATTTTTTCACGTATTCATTTTAATTTTGTTGTATGGTTATTTTTGTTTTTAATATGAAGATTTTTTTCACGAACAGTTTATTACTTTAACATAGTTTTAACTTTGTTTAACATGCAATCTCTGGAATAGGATTATTAAAATGTTCTTTACAGCTTTCGCTAATTTTTCCCTCTGCTTTTATTATCATTCTTTTTTAAAATTTACAACTCAACGCGCAATTTTTGACCAACTAGGTCTCGGAGAATCTTTTTTATTTTACTACTTGCTTGCTTATATACCAGGTGGCCATAATTAAACTGACAGTGCTCACAGTGTTCTGTAGCACGATCTATTTACAAGAATGACGCTACATTTTATAGGAAGATTAAACAAGATGGGGAATGAAGGATTCCGCGAAAAAACAAATTAGTTCCAAAAGTCACCATTAGGGGAATATTTGGCGCTATGTAATAGAAAATAGAGTGTTAACAAATGCAAGTCAATACGAAAATTACCTTTTATTTTGCATCAAATGAGGTTCAATGTGGCTGCCGTTGTTGTGGACCACATATTGCATTCTGTGCACAGTATGCACAACAGCAGAAAGTAACATGTCTGCAGGAATCTCCCGTACAGTCCGTTATATGTTATCCTTCAACATATCCAGGTCCTGGACCACTCCTTGATAGACCTTGGTCTTAAGGTAACCCCACAGCCAGAAGTCTATTAAAACATATTTAAAAGGGTTTAATCAAGGTAATCTGGGGTAAGATCAGGCGACCGAGGTGGCTTGCAGTTGGAAAGTAGCGGCTAATGACTCTTTCTGTTGTGAATTTCTGTCGTAGCATCTGTTGCACCCGTACAGCAACATGTGGAGGGGCTCCATCTTGTATGAAAGTGATTTCCCCCAGGCATTGTCTTTGCTGAAGTGCTGGAATGACAAAGCTGTTCAACATGTGGCGATATTTCCCTCCGGTAACAGAACAGGTTTCCGGTCCTGTCGGGGTAATGTTCTCATAGAAGAATGGACCAACGATAAATTCCGCTGTGAACCTACACCAAACAGTTACCTTTGGTGAATGTAAGGGAATTGCTGTGACTGCATGTGGTGATTTGTCATCTCAAATTCGGTAGTTCTGGGTATTCACAGTTCCTTTCAGGTAAAAGTAGGCCTCGTCTCCCCATAAGATTTTCCACGGCCAAGCATCATCCACCTCCATTCTGGCAAGAAAGGTGAGAGCAAAAGTCAATCGCTTATCATGGTCGGGGTACAGTAACTCCTGTACACGGCTGATCTTGTACGGATAGAAGTTGATAATCTTTCGTAAGATTTTCCATATAGTACTGTAAGGCATATCCATATTCCGAGCTACTCCACGAGCGCTAGAATTGACAGCAATATTGCCTGGTCCTCTGTCGACAATTGCTGTGGCAACTGCTTTGATTGCATCCTGTGGTACAAGTTTTCGTCCTCTGCCTGACTGAACCTTCAGAAAACCTGTTTTCTCAAACGTCACAACCATTGCTTTTAGCCCATTAACTAACACAGGACCGTTACCTTTATGATTTTTTTTTTTTTTTTTTTTGGTGTGTGCATTCTGTTGGTTGAGGTAAAAGAATTTGACCAGTAACGCACGCTCGACTAAAGAAGGAGACATTGCACATAAACTTTCAATCCGATTGATTCGAAACGTAACACATTGCCTTTTAAAACCCAAGCAGCTGGCACTGTGTGAATGGGATGTAACATGAAATTTGAATAAAGAACTTCTTCTGCTCAGCATACGTGATATTGCAGAGCACGAGACTTTATCGGTGTTTATGTAGATTTTACGCTTTTTTAAAAGTGTTGCCATATTGCACTTGAACTAAATCAGAAAATGTGCATAATAAAAGGTAATTTTATTCCATATTAATTTGCATTTGTTAACACTCTATTTTCTATTACACAGCGCCAAATATTCCCCTAGGGGTGACTTTTGGAACTAATTTGTTTTTTCGCAGAATTCTTCGTCCCCCGTCTTGTTTAATCTTCCTACAAAATGTGGAGTCATTCTCGCAAAATAGATCATGCTACAGAACACTGTGAGCACTGTCAGTTTAATTATGGCCACCCTGTATATATCGGGTTTTGACGAAAGTTCCCACCACTTCAAATATCATCTGTGCAAACAGTTTGCACTGCCGTGTTTAGTCATACGATTTTTGGCACTGGAAGACTTCCTTTACAACACTGCTGCGAAAATTGTAAAAAATATCATTAAGTTTGTCTGAAATGGAACTATCACCATACCCAAATAGAATCATCATTTAGTTCCAGTTCTGTTGCAAAAAGTCACCAAATCATGTGTATAGATTTAGGTGCTAATGTTGTATCATATGACACTGTGAAGGTTTGTTAGTGAAAGTTCAAAAACTAGAACTATGACATTCCAGAAGCAGAGCACTCTGGCCACCCTACTGATGTTGATGAGGACCGCCTCAGTGAATTTATGGAAGAAGATCAGTATGCAACCACTTGAGAACTTGCTAAGGAGTTACACATTAGTGCCATGTCCATTATTTGTGTTCTGTATTGCATAATCTTGACAAACAATCGCCGGATGCCGCATGAGGTGACTCAAGCAGATAAAGACAGCCGTAGTCGGACTTGCATTAATCTGCACAAATATCAATCCAAAGACAAAATTCTGGACCAAGATCGTCATTCGTGATGAAAGTTGAAATCCAAAAAAGGGGGTTGGTCTGCCCACGGTGACCCCCCTTGGCAGCATTGCAAAGCGCAATTTGAGTAACAAAAAGATCATGTTTTGCATATGGCGGGATTGGTGTAGTATTATCTACAAAGAGTACCTGGAAAAAGGTAAAACCGTACAGCAAAATGCTAGTGTGTATTGATGCTGCTATCAAGGAAAAAAGTTGAAGTGAGTTCTGGTACAAAGAGGTAATGTTCCATCAAGATAATGCAAGACCACATGTGTCTTCATTCACTGGTTGGACTCTGTATGAACCTGAATGGGATCTTTTCCCACACCCACCACATAGCTCTCTGCGCCGAAGACTTTGGAAAACTACTAAAACCTAGGCAGAAAATCCTACGTTTGGATGGTGATTACTACCTGCACTAAAAATATTGCTTTCATTTCTTTTTTCTCCTCCTAAATTTATTAAGTACATTTTTGGCATAAAACTTTCTTTACAACTAGATATAATACAAGGTCCGGCTATTAATTTCCAGGACTAATGTAACTGTAGGAGAACGAAAAGTCAGAAGATGGCGCCAATAATCGCACATTGAAGAATGTTTTCTTGTGCATGTGCAGTGCAAACGACGCCATTTTGAAGTAAGTGGTTCTCGTGGAAAGGCCCATTAAAACGTAGCTCTTAAATTCCTATTGTCGAAGTGAAAATGGAGAAAAGAATCAACATTAAATTTTGCTTCAAATTGGGCAAGACAGCTGCGGAAACCTACGAAATGTTAAAACAAGTTTATGGCGAGGAAGCATTATCCCACTCAAGAACTTTTGAATGATTTAAATGCTTTCAGGATGGGTGCGAATGCGTCGAAGAAGACTATGGCCGACCTTGTACGCATGCTGGAAGCAATTGAAAAAGCTAGCGATATGGTGAAATGTGATCGTCGATTGACTATTTGAGTACTCGCCAATGAATTCAACATAGACAAAGAGACGGTTCGGCGAATTTTGACGCAAGACCTAGGGCATGTGCAAGATTTGTTCCAGATTCTTTCGTCACCATTTAAGGGATGAACAAAAGCAATTGAGACTGGACGCATGTGGCGAACTTATCGACAACGCTCATGCTGACCCTGCATTCCTGGACAGGATAGTCACAGGAGACGAGTCTTGGTGTTATCAATATCACTCTGAAATCAAGCTTCAAAGCTCCAAATGGCGATCTCCAAGTTCACCAAGGCAGAAAAAATTCCGATTTGAAAAGTCCAAAATCAAGGTCATGTTAATCGCTTTCTTCGATTGCGTTGGACTCGTTCATCATGAATTTCTTCCTCCTAACATGACTATCAATGGACAGTTCTACACAGAAGTTCTTGACCGACTTCAAAAACAAATTTGTAGAGTGAGGCCTCATTTTCAACAAAATGGGAGTTGGCTGCTGCTACATGACAATGCCCGCCCACACAATGCATTGCCTGTGAGGCGATTCTTAGCCCAGCATGGTGTCATTGAAATGCAGCATTCACCATACTCTCCAGACCTAGCACCCGCAGACTTTTTCCCGTTTCCTAAGCTGAAAAATTCGCTGAAGGGAACAAGATTTTAGGATGTCGAAGCCATCAAGAAAACTGTAACGTCACTATTAAAGAGCATTCCAAAAGAGGACTTTAAAACTTCTTCCCGAAATTTCTACAACCGAGCACTTTACTTTGAATCATATTAAATGGCTATGTGTTTAACCTTTTTTTTCTTCTGAGTTATTCCACGAGTCCTGGAAATTAATAGCCGCACCTTGTATATTACATACACTGACCGGGGAAAAAATAAGAGTCACAAAATTTCAGAAATACATTTGTCTATGTAACATATTTAATTAATTAAATTTTCAACATCACAGGCATACAAGAGAAGGGCCATTTCAATTCTGAAATGCTGTAGAATGCATTATGTTGTATAAGTGCCAAATGTCAGTTTGTGAGCATGACATTCCATGGCTGTTGCACTTCGTCGGTTGCCCAGTGATGTCCTATATATGCTTAATTGTAGAAAGATCTGGGATTTAGCAGGCCAAGGCAACACGTCAACACTCTGTAGAGCACGTTGAGTTACAGCAGTAGTATGAGGGCGAACATGATCCTGTTGAAAAACACCTCTTTGAATGCTGTTCATGAATGGCAACAGAACAGGTTGGATCACCAAACTGAGACATAAATTTGCAGTCAGGCTGCATGAAATAACCACAAGAGTGCTCCTGCTGTCATATAAAATTGCTATCCAAACCATAACTCCAGGTGTAGGTCCAGTTTGTCTCAGCCACAGACAGGCTGGTTTCAGGTGCTTGCTTGGCTTCTTTCCAACCAACACACAGCCATCACTGGCACAAGGCAGAACTAGCTTTCATCAGAAAACACAACAGATCTCTATTCCACCGTCCAATGCATTCTAGTTTGACACCACGTGCTGCAAACAGCAGTAATTTGAAGTCGGTGGAATACACACTACAGGGAAACTTGTTTGGAGCTGTTCTACAAGTAACCAATTTGTAATAATTTGTCACTGTGGTGCCAAGTGAAGCCCAAATTTCTGGCGCAGATACAGCGCAATGCATCACAATCATAGGCTGAACACAATGGTCTTCTCTCTCAGTAGTGCCACGTGACCACTTGGAGCCTGATCAATTTGATCACATTTCCTTGACCACTATTGAAAACAATCATGCACAGTGGATACATTCATGCTAAGTTTTTATAGAATATCATGGAAAGAAAATCCACCTTCTCATAGCCCAATTACATGACCTTGTTTAAACTCACTGAGCTATTGATGATGGTTTCTTTGTCTTTTTAAAGGCAATCTTGACTAACTCATTATATCAGATCTCAATGACAAATAACAATCACTAACTTTATAGTGCATATTTAAAGCAAACTGGATTTGCATGTCCATAGCAGCGCTACTGGCACGAAATATGAATAAACATCATCTTTCAGCTGTATAAACACGCCAGCCAAATTTTGTTTATCTAGCATGATTCTTTCTTGGTGTTGGGATATCCCCCCAGGTCAATATATATCTATGTATATATATAAGATATAACAAAATAAGATAGCTGCTTTAAAAAAAAAAAAAAAAAAAAAAAAAAAAAAAAAATAAGAACTAGTGACCTCAAAAATTAACATTCTCAATTTGGTGATCTCCCCCTAAATTCATCTGTTCTCCCAAATTCGAGATTTTTCGACATTATGTAATGCTACTTGAAAAGAGTAACCAAAACTAATAACTAACAAATCATAGCTTGTTTCTAGAATCACACCTACTCTGGTATAAAAAATCCCTGGCAGCTAGTTGAGTCACTTTGTTCCTAGCTTCCACCTTGCTAATAACTCCTCGCTTCGCTGTCTAAACTGCAAGAGCCTTAATTTTTTTTAGAATCAATATACGTAGAAATTTACCATATTTAATTATGATTGAATAAGTGTCTACCAAATTAATTGGATGTGTGTGAAAATAAAGACTGGAAATTCTTCAAATTCATGTTTTATTATCTTCATCTGTATGTCTTAAACTCTTATCCCTTCTATAGATGCATGAAGCTAGGCGGGACATTTCCGAGAAACGAGATTCTAGTAACACTGCTTTAAGTGGGAGGCTTCCGAGTAATGTTTTATCTAGCTAGGCGAAACATTTCGAAACTTTACCGAAAATGTTCCGTCTTCTCTTCTCTGGAAAGAGCTATGATGGAGGGAACAAAAGTCCCCATTCTTCCACCCTATTTTAAGAATAATTCGGTCCGAATGGCGCATGCATGTTTGCACTCATGGTCGTGGATGAGGCGGCCGAACTATAATTTTCAATATGGTGATGGCTCTTGTTGTGAAATCATGGACGGTGGAAATAGATGCCGATTTGATTGAGGAAATACGGAAAAAGCCGTATATATATATATTGCTGTTTTATTGTAATATAACTGTATAAGTTATTTTTAAATGTATATATATTATATATTTATTAAATTTATAATCGTGGAAATTTCAGAGTAGACAATATTTTATGACGTGCTATTTCTGATGATTTGTTTACAAATTATTCGTTGCAAAAAGTTCACCTAATTTGTTGTATTTCAGACTCATCGTGTGAAAAGAATGTTATTGTTATATAATAGAATTTTTTTATTAAGGGGAATACATTTTCAAAATATGTCTGTATATGCGCAACTTTACTTTTCTGCTAATTACTTTTATTACTACTTTTAAATTGAAATTGCATAATCAGTGATTATGTATATTTATTAAAACAGATTATTTAATAATGACGATACACATTAAATTTGTATGCAACTATCTGCACGTTATTAATGAAATGCTTTTAAATTATGAACACATTAAGAACTATATTTTAAAGAAGTTTTAAGAACTATATATATAAATGCTACATATTGAAACATTGGAAATTTATGGATTTGTTATTATGAATGATGAAAAACAATTGTATAAACCTTCATTAATAAAAAGCTTATTCATTACATTAATACTAATAAACATACATCAACAATTTCTAAACCATCCCATCTCTCTCGCTATGTTTAAGTAAATATTACATGTGTGTATATATATATTAGCAACTGTAGTCATCAGTTCTTTGCACATTATCATGGATATGGAATACACAGTTGACAAATAATTGAAGTGCATTTTATGCATTAGGCTAGTCATTAAAATTCACCCACTTACACACAACCTCCTTTGCACTTGTAACTATACTTGGGAATTTAAACAAAAAAATTGAGCAAGTAGCCTTTATGAAACATTTAACATTTTGGGGATGAAATAAAAATTTTTGACTCATCACAAAACAAATATCAGTAAATGGCATTATATCATGTACACAAAAATCATTAAATAAATATATGGATTCAAAAATAACTATTTACAATAATAAAATCAAATATATACAACACATCATTACAAAGAATAGGACTTGTCTTTGCACGTTTTTTCTCGTTAGATTTTTGAATCGCCAGAGTCGAGATAAAAGTGATCTACTTAATAGCCATCACCTTTCTATTATTTTCGATAACTAACAATAAAGTTTAAAACAAAAAGAGTGTAAGAAATACAACATGAAAAAGCAATCATCATTTGAAAGGAAACGTCACTTTCGCCAATCTGAGCAATAACCGATTCTTGTTTTGCTTTCAGCCCGTTTACCAAGTGAAGATGGTAACCCGATTTCGCAGAAGTGTGCTTCTCAGAATTGTTCCTCCAAACGTTTCGCTCTGGCAACAAATATCGTATGTGATACGGTCTTTAACCACAGCCATGACGGACATCGAAAGCAGCTGAGAGTTCTAGCCATCGTGACTGAGCTTCAAAAATATGACATATGTACACACACATAATAGGTCATCTGAGATGTTCTGCAGTTTTTGATGAAACACAAATGAAACAGTGAGAGAAGAATATCATTTTGTTTTACAACATGTTTCTACTTCTCTGGCAGCTGAAAAATTCCTTTTTTGAAAAAGATCATTAGGTTTATTCATAAAGAAGTTATTTGGTATACTATTTGACAGTCTCCAAACAAGTGAACTCCAAGCCACTCAGAAAATTTTGAAGTGGATGGAAGAGATGAAAATCAGAGTATAAGGCCTAATGAATACAAAAAGGGAGAGGAGGACAAAAAATAATTCCAGCCATATTCAACAAGACTTTGCCTAAGAATCACTGGAATGTGAGGCTGGCATTGCCATGATGAAGACAATGCCTTGATAACTGATCAGTTCTGGGTGCTTTGCTTTGATATCTGTTTTTAAAACTGCCATTTGAGAAGAGAATTTTTTCTAAATTGTCCACTTTGGTGGGAACAACTCATAGCATACATGTCCACCATACACAAAGTGTTACTTCTTTCAAATGAAGCCCCTCATCTTGATGTTACTGAAGGAGGTTCTTTCGGCTTACCCTGTGATCTTTATAACATTATAGTATAGTATCCATTTCTCATTTTCAATAATGAAACACTGAGGGGGAAGGAAAGCTTTCTTTCTTAAAAGCGGGGGGGAAAAAAAAAAAAAAAACGTTACACATTGAAACTCAAACAAGTATACTCTGCTCTGTAAAGTACATATACACTGTAGTGGCTTACAACACCAATCTTTTTTAAATGATTCTACACAGTACTCTTTGTAATATTAGATATATGCGATATTACTGTATTAACCTGAATTTTCAGAGACAGCTTCATTGAACTCATCCTTGTTCACAAAAGATGGCTGCTCAGAGTGAGTATGATCTCTGAATATGAAATTTCTACCCTTCTCCAACCATCTTCGAATACTCATATATAATCACAAATACCAGCTTATACACATATGATGAAAATTTTATGAGCAGTTTGAAACAGCATTTCTTCTTTTTGTAAAATAAAAAAAAGAATAATATAAGAAAAACAAAACTAGGGGTTCTTCATTTTTGGCTCTTTGCTGAAACAAAAATTATGCCATTGCTCAATGTTAGAGATATGCAAACACAAGCAGAAAAGACCATATTTAAACATCTGCTTCAATCAAGATCACATTTTATCAGTAGTACAGTCAAAAGTCGTTAATCCGGACTCGTCGGGACTTCGGCGATTCCGGATTATAAATCATCAGTTTAAATCTGCTAAGATGGCATGCAGAAATTATAAAATATGAAACCGTAATTTATGAAATAAAGAACAATTATGAACTAAAGAGTATCAAAATTTACAAAAAAAAAAAAAAAAAAAAAAAAGCTTAATATTTATTTGCTTACTTTATTAAACATTTCTTTTAATGTAAGTTGTTTAAGTTGCTTTGTTTTATTGCTAATACTTTCTCTTTAGTTCTATATAAACAGACATAATTTCTTGTTCAGTTACAAAGTTTCGCTGTTCAAGTCCTGTAATTGCTGTGCCGAGAATACCGACTAATTTCTCAATCAAAATTTTTTCGTTTTCACTAATCTCTCTGTCACTTTCTTCATGCCTTTATCTCTGTCACTTTCTTCATGCCTTTATCCAACTTTTGCAGCAATTCCACTTTTTGTTTGATGGACATAGAAACATACTTTCACTTTAATCCAAAGTTCAAGCTTACTTTTATAAAATTGCTCTAACAGTCTGCAAAAAATAAGCCGGATCCAATTCGAAGATTAAGGAGCAACGCAATCTGTAACATTAACTGAAATAAGATAATTATATAATTTTAGCTTATACCGTCTGTTATACATTAAACGCGCATGCGTAAACGTATTATGCGCTTGCACACACGCATATGCGCAGCCGTAAAGGTGTTATGCGCATGCGTCAACATTCGCAGAAAGTTCGTACCTTTGAGGTCCGGATTATAGATCATTCTGGATTATGGGTGTCCGAATTAACAACTTTTGACTGTAATAAAATAATTAGAAAACTCACTTCAATTTGAAAACTAGAATAACTCAATATTGAAGACTGCTGGTTACCACACACTTATAATTATTAGAGGATATAATTTAAATTATATATTCCAACTCTTAAAAAGAAAACAGATGAAATATGTATACCAAATAAAGCTTCTAAAAATTATTTTACGTTAGTATATGTTCAAACAGAAACCAATATTCTATAAAAATTGATAACGAAGCAAATTTGTTAGTATACAATTTCAGTTATACTTCTAAAATTCTGTCCTGCCTCCAAAAACCTCAAACCAATATGGGTTAAATGCTTCAATCATTATTCTTTACTTTTCTTACTTTGTATAGTGTTGTAATGAAAACACCAAGACTTTTTTTCTAAGAACATATTAATTTTTTCCCTTTTATTTCTTACTGAAAAAATTTGTTTGGCATCTGCCCAAAGATCTGGAGTAGATTAAGGATGTATACCAAGGCACAACTGTTAAGTATTTCATTCAGTTTAAGAATAAAATTTTGCTATGAAAACTGCCTGAATAATCTAAGGATTAAGCAGATATAATTTAAAATTTGCTTTTTCAAATTACTGAAAAGAATTTTCCCATTTGATACCTTAACTGTATCTATGTCAGTAAAACATTAAATGCTATTATAATATGCTTTTAATTTACACTTTCATATTTGTTATGAGGGATAAAGCAGCACTTTTCATTAAATAACACTCAAAAACAGTACTTTAGACTTGGGAAATTCAAAAAGAATGCATAAAGTCTTAAAATGATTATTTGCACTTGATAAATAAATTACTTTAAGAATATAAAAATTTTTATTATTAAATTAAATAAGTTCTGTAATAAAGTATTCAAATGAAAAATGAATGCATACCACAATAATTTTAAATATTGAATGTACCAATGTCAGTTATGAATCTTGATTGCCTTTTCCAAATAATTATATCTTGATCGCTTTGGAGCTTTATTAATATGTTCTAAACCAAGCCAAGGCCTTGGTTGAACTGCACCGCCTGAAAAGGTCATGAGCATTATAAATTTGAGTTACTATACTGTACAAGGTTTGAAAAAAATACTAAATGAAAAACAAGAACTTACCAGTTTGTGGATGCGGAAGAAAATCAGGCAGATTAATATGGTAATCTTTATCTTCAATAATCTGTGGTCTTCCCATAACAACTAGAGCAAATTTATACTAAAAAGAATATTATTATTAAAAAACAGAAGCAGGGGGGTTACTTTTCCCTTAGCCAGGTACAAATGTCACCTAAGTAGATCTTTCATTTTGGTTACAGTGCACCACTTAAAATGACTCGCTGAAGTTTTTTTTTTTTTTTTGGGGGGGGGGAGGGGGGAGGAGCTCTAAATGTAAATGAACTCAGAGCCATTAAAAGATTCAATTTTGATTATTTGAATCACATTAATTTATGAATAATTCTTTTTTGTTATAAGATGTTAGCGTTTCAACACACCACTTGCTTTGGCAGTAAAATGCCCTTTTCTGTTCAACGTAGACAAAATTAAAATTTTTCAGCATAATTAAGCATATAATAATCAAGCAAAATAATTAAGCAGCACGGAAAATGGATGTTATGTGAAAGATGGCATTTGGTGCAATATTTATCAAATTAATGCTTATGACTGGCTAATGAAAAAGTACCAAACAAGTTTCTCACATTGAATTCACAATTGGCTAAAAACATACTTAATTAAATCAGGGTTGCCACTCAAACAGGAGAATGAAATTCCCAGACTTTTCCAGGTGTGTTTTAAGAAAATTGCACTCTTTGCAGTTTGCATGTTGGCTGTGCTAAGAGGTAAATTAATTATGGTATTATCTGAAAACACAAAAATTTGCCAATTACATGACTTATACATATAATCCCCAAAGTATTACTATTATAATTATAATAAGAGTTGTTTTCTCCACTGAAGATTGAGATTAGAACCTGCCCAATTTGTATTAAAAATTTTTTTCGTTGCAGACAAACGAAAGAAATCCATTTAATGATATTTTAAAATAAATTTGGGTATTCTATATTTATTTAGCAGCATATTTAAGCAAAAAATATGTGTATTAAATTTCGTAATGATATGTCATCATACTGCTAGAATTAGTTTCAGGATTATGCCAGAGAAAATTTGTTGAAATTTGAAAGTATTATTTACTAATAATAAATAAATTTAGAGGGAAGAAGCAAGATTAAATGATACGAATAACATTAAAATAAAGATAATTACTTAAAAATTGAATTAGAATAATTAACGATATTTTAGCAAATATAGTTATATAAAATGGTTAGCCTTCGATGACTGATTACTATTTTTTTATTTACTGCAAAATGACAAAGAATTTTTTAAAAATAAAAAAAAAATAAAAAAGGTTTAAAAGATTTGTGGTAAAAACTTAGTTTACTTAGTTTTGAAAATTGTCACCAACACCAAAATGACCCATTTACTGTTCATCATAATGTCTCCAAATCTCTTGTGTACCGTACATGGAGGTTAGAATAGAATACATCGAGGCTATTCTAACCAAAGAATGTCTATATAAAGAAGGAAAGGTTCCACAGACGCAATGCTATTACGCTGTTAGAAAGCAGAGAAAAAATTCACCAAGGAATTTGACGACATAACCTAGCGGTAAGAATTTTTCTCTCTGCAAAGTGTACAGGAAACTGAGGAACACATGTTAAGAAACGTTCTTTGACAAAACATTCCTTCTCTGACTTTTCGCAATAATTTAAACACGAATTTTCATATTTTTTTGGATCAAAATAACTAATCTATTAATTAATTTACTTGTGTGAAAAAATATTTTCTTTTTTTTTAATTTAAAGAAAGTTAAAACGATATTAATTTTATGTTGACACCTTCGAGCTTTGCTAACAGATATTTCATGCATGCGCAGCTGTTTCCCTCTACGTTGGAATGGAGCCACTCCTGTTGCACAAAAGTTCCTTCTTTACATATTCTTTGATTCGAACCTCCATAGTACCATATACTAGGATTAAACCGATTTTGTTTTATACAAGAATAATTATTTTGTTTAGTTCAACATGCACATGTGATTTTCTCGAGGTTACTGGAAGCCAAAGTTGCTGGAGACTTGCTTTGCCTTTCTAAAAGACAATCTAATTGGAGCTGTGAAAATTGGCTCTATGCCAGCTGCCCGAATGACGCTTGCGCAATACACAATTCGAAAAGAAAGTGATCGCTTCCAACGTCAGCGCAAAACTCGGCTTTTGGGGGGGGGATTGCCGTATGAAATTCCCTGAATTTGTGGGTCAATATTCGAATTCCCCGACTTTTTCCGTTTTTCAAGGTAGCGTGGCAACCCTGTTAAAAATATATAAGGGTATTGTATTGTAGAATTCAAAAGTTCCCAAACTGAGTTTATAATGTAAAAAAAATTTTTGCAGTAGTGCGACTAAGAGAGCGTTTTTGTGTTACAACATTCCCCCTCTTTTTCAAAAGGGGTTTGTCCCAAATCACCTGGTTGAAAGCTTGCGGCGACAGCGTTTTTTGTAAGCACAAGCAGTAACCGGCGATAGAAAGAAATAGCATCAGTTGAGCAGAAAATCAATATCAAATTTTGTGTTTGCTCGGCAAAGAGTGCTACGGAGACTTTCGAAATGTTGAAGCATGAGCACGGAAGAAGCATTATCGAGATTGCAAGCTTTTGAGTGGCATTGTCGCTTCAGAGAAAGCAGGGAATGTGCCAAAGACGATGAATGCTGCGGCCATCCCGTGACTTCACACACCAATAAAAACATAAAAAAGGGTGTTTGCAGCAGTATGTGCGAACAGGCAGCAAACATTCTGACAAATAGCACATTCAGTTGGGATATCAAAAGCCACATGACAGCAGATACTGACTACAGTTCTTAACATGCATAGGATGTGTCAACACATCGGTCCCTGCATGTTAAACGTAGACCAAAAGGGAATTTGAATGGAAATGGTGGGAGACTTAATCTCTGCTGTTGACAAAGATCCTTCCCTACTTGGCAGAATTATTACTGGAGATGAGTAATGGTTTTTTTTGTATGACCCACAAACCATGACAGCATCAGCAATGTGGAAATCACCATAATCTCCATAGAAGCAGAAATTCCACCAAGATCGTTCTAAGCAAAAGGTCAATGCTAGAGGTATTCTTCAATAGCCAGGGTGATGTGTATCTGGAAATTATCCCTGATAGATGCACTGCGAACAAAGAACTCTACGTCGAAATCCTAGGTCATTTGCAAGAGTCGATCTGGAAGAGACCAAAAATAAGGGCTAAGCAGTCATGAGTGCTGTTGCATGACAACGCTCCTGTTCACCGATCCCTATTCGTCAATGATTTTCTTGCGAAAACGAAAACAACTGTTTTGCTGCATCCTTCTTACTCACCTGATCTTGCATTCTGCAATTTCTTCCCATTTCCTGAACTGGCAAGACACTTGCAAGGTCGTCGACTGCAATCTTCAGATGAAGTTAAACGTGCATCTCGAGCTGAATTAAAGGACATGGCCAAAAATGCATTCCAGACATGCTTCGATGACCTTACATGCTGGCAAAAGTGTGTTGTTGCACAAGGGTCTTATTTCGAAGGAGGATGTGTTTCTGCAATTTAATTCATAATATATTTTATGTTATAGACTCAGTCCAGGAACTTTTTAATCCTACCTCGTATATTAATCACTAACAGAATGTAATAATATCAGGAAATAAAAGTTATCAAGAAATTAACAAATTTTCATCAAATTTCATTTCACATATGTATAATTTTTTATAGAACAGTACATGATTACAAATATACGCTGCTTGAAAAATTTGGCTACACTTTCAAATGTTTATTACAAATAAACGGAGGTTTTCACTTACTGTTTTCAATAAAGAAAATATCAGTGTTTTTCCCCTTCAATGAGCATTTATTCTTCAATTTGTGTAACATCATCACAGCTTCTGTTAGGGTGGCCATATTTTGGTTTTAACAACGCTACCTGTCAATCTTTCACGTCAGTTATTGTAGATCTTGAAGGTGGAATTTGATTGTAAGTAGTACAAAATTTACATCGTACCTCTGTTGCAGATTTAAATTCAATAACTATGTTACAACTTGCACTTGTTTTTGCGGTGAAGCTATAGTCCAAAATTTATGCTGTACCTCTGTCGCACATTTAAATTCAATAAACCATGCTACAACTTGCACTTGTTTTTGCGGTGAAGCTATAGTCCGAAATTTATGCTCTACCTGTGTTGCAGATTTAAATCCAATAAACCATGCTACATCTTGCACTTGTTCTCGCAGTGAAGCCATTTTGAAATGAGATTGTTGCAAAATGAGGATGTAGTGCCACCTAGTTTACATTTCAGTTGAAAGAAACTATAATCTTTTATTTTATGGGACATTAAAAAAAAAAAAAAATCTTTGTTTACTTTTAATTCATTTTTTAAAGTGTAGTCATACTTTTAAGGACACTCTTTATAATTCCAGATTATCACATGAAATGCATTAATCTAGAGCAGCAGTCGGCAACATTTAGAACTTCGTTGACCACTAAATGCATAATTTTTGATTTGGCAGACCATTAAAATGAGTTTAGAAAAAATGGTAAATACATCTATACAATAATAATCAGAAAACTTTTATTTTATTAATGTGAAACTTTTATTTAATTAATGCAAATTGCCTAGGATCTTCCAATTTTAGGTAATAAAAACCAAAACATTCTTTCAGTGACTGGAAGTGCTGTTGAATAATGGATACCATTTGTTGGTTGAGATTGTTCTCTCCTATATTTTCATTTAAATTTATAAGCATTTGTATATTTCCTTCTACAGCGTTTGCTACAGTGATATTTTTTGAAAAGCATCTATTTTACTCATACTGTAAACGCATGCTTAAGTTGTCCTTGCATATGTTTAGTTCAGTTAACAGAGGAAAACCATCTGCCAAATATACAAGGTTGTCTACCCCCTCAAATCGTCAGACAAGAGTTCTTGAAATTCCGGATTATTTTACTGCTAAAAAATAATTTGATTTCTTCGTGTAGACCGAACAGTCATGTCAGTATCTCACCTCAATGTGAAGAAGAAGGTGAGTATAGTATAATGAGAGCCAATTTCTTTACAAAGTGCTTCAAATAATCGAGAATTAAGCACTTTGTGTTGAATTCATTGTGACGTTAATAACATCTGCTGATACTTGGTGTAGTTCTGGGGGACATTTTTTTTTTTTTTTTCCATGACAAGATGCTCACTATGTGTAATGCAGTGTGTAGACCGAAAGACTCCTGAAGGATGTCCAGTTATGTTTAGTAATTTCGTCAATTTTGGGCTTTAACAGTGTTAGCAGACTTACTACTTTCAATTTCTGTACAGGCTTTTTTCCCAAAATCTCTTCACAAGCTTGCAATATGCAAGGTTTGAATAATTCTTCTCCAATTGTATACGGCCTTTTGTTTTTCAGTACTTGAAGTGCTATCAGATAGGAAGCCTTTGATAGGGGCTTATCTTAAACAACCATATTTTTAAGGTACCTACTTATATTTGCATATTTTCACACATTTTTAAAAAATATTCAAGTAGTTTATTAGCAAAATCTGAGTGTTTTGATTTCAAGTGAGGTATCATGGCAGCATTAGATAAACTCTGAGAACAGATAATTCCAAAAGGCCATTCATTCAGCTTACTACTGGGTTCTGGAATAAATCCACATTTCATATAGTCTGAATCACATTTTCTTGTTATTTTGGGTTTTTTTCTTTGCACCTCCAGCTTGAACTTTCTCTCTATTGCTGTCTGATCATGACGAGGAATGTGGATGCTTTGATTCATTGATTACCTCTTTGTTAAATGAATCAATACTATTTTCATTAGTTATTCTATCTTTAGTTTTACTAAAGAAATGCAAAATATTCGCTCACTTTTTCTCACTCATTATGTGTCTATTATCTATTTTATTTGAATCTGAGAACCATAAAAAATTAAAGAAAATTATTAATTGGTGAAAAATGTCTGCAAAAAATGCATAAGTTTATGTACATAGTTTTTCTGTGGACCATCAAAAATTTTTGGAGACCACGGATCTACAGCGCATAACTTTTGCTGCTATTTTTGCCATTCATTACATGGTGCAATTCCCTCAAAATCTAGTTTTTAATAAATCAATGCCATTCTAAAATTTGCCTAAGTTTACTTGTGTCTCTCCATTATAATCCAACCAGGTTTTTTATTAACGCAAACATACACACAATAATGATTTGCCCAATGAACATATCATGAAACAAGATAGCTGTTTGCCCCAAGACTTTTTTACGGAAATTTTTTTATTAGGTGCTGCTTAATGTGATCACATTTGTCCACAGCTATTCTGATAATAAAATATTTAAAGCAAAAAGAAAGAAACCTCCAATCAGAAATAGAATTTAACTAATTTAATATATATGACTAGAAACACAAATACTTTCACAGAATTAGAAATACATGCAAAAACATATCTATGAACTTATTCACAAGGTCTCTAATGCAGTAGTTCATTTATGAAATGTTCATAACATTTCTGGAAATTCTTTGACCAAAGGTCTATCCTGAATACTTGGAGGGCATCCCTCATTCATTGGAAAAGAACGTAAAACTAAAATTTAAGATTGTGAAAAAAACCCACCCTTAGTTTGGTGTAGATGTTTTCAGCAAAACTATGCTTGCTTTCTTACCCAATTTTGAATAGTTGAGCAAAATCAAAATAAAATTTTGTGTGCCCCATAATCCCTTATTTGCTGACACTTTTCTGACACCTAGCAATTTTTATACAATTTGTTTTGGCCTTATTGAATTGTCGGTAACAATAAGTGATGTATTTTCTAGAATTTCATACACAAACAGGCAAGACTCCGGAAATTTGCTCATAACATCCAAATGATAACATTAACCACAATCACATAAAGCAGCGTCTACTGTATTCATATTATATGATTTAGCAAGCACTTTAATAGGAATTAACACCTAGATGAACCTGCTAATGTTCGATAAATTTAATCATTAAAAAATATGAAATACTTCAGAAGAATACTTTAATAACAAAGGAAGTACACCTAATTATGTTTTTTCCATGACCGACAAATTCCGGGGAAAGGAGATAACTGTGGATATTAAGAAATTAAAGGCGGATTCCAGATATGAAAATCCAAACAATCTTTTCAATCAAAATTTCCTTTTTAAGAATTTAAATACACTTTGTAATGAACTTATGTCCACATATACATATTAAATTGTTACAAAACATCTCAACTTAAAAAGGTTTAATCTCCCCCTCTCAAAAAAAAAAAAAAAAAAAAAAAAAAATCATTCTTGGACAGCTTCTTTCTATTTGTAACAAAATGATCTAGGTTACTCCACACATTCCTATTTTTGAAATTTCCTCTTTCAAGAATCTAGCATTGAATATAACAGCTTGAAATAATTTCTTTTACTGATTAACTGCCTTTGCAATTTTTGTGACCTGCAAACAATAGTTGTGGCAATATGGAGAAATTCACAGTACTTATGTATTATCACATCGACTATAAAACTGTTCCAGAGCAGCATGAATTAGCATCAGTTATGGATAATCATAACATTTGTGCTTTTGTCTGATGTAACTCTGATCTTGTTAAGCCACCTTTTGTTTTTATGAAAAAGAATATAAATTAACTGTTATTGCTGTATTTTTTCTTCTATTTTGAGAAAAATTATTAAAATTTGGACCTGCCTTCTACAGAACAGCAAGCAATGCATTATTTTCAAAGTTTTTTAACTTTATTAAATAAAAGTGTATTAATGGACATAGTCAGCTGAATATGGCAAATAAAACAGTATTAGATTTGGAAAATTATCTCGATTAGTTCGTAATTGTACTGTCCTACATAGAGCTTCCAGTAAATTCAGAGGCCCTAACAAAATAGCAGAAACTGAGAAAAGCCTATTTATGGAGCACAAAAACCAAGTAGGTTAAATAAAAATTGTTTATTAAATAAAGATGCATCGGCTCCTCCAGAATTCTGCAGGAATGATTGGCACAACATTCATAGGTCGGTGGTAGCCAACTTTCACAGTAATTATTGGGATATCTGTGAAATTCAGCACTGATCTGCTGTTAACTAAATCACTGTTAATATTATCTAAGCCAAAAAGTGACAATACAAGAAACCATACAAGTATTCTTCCACAAGAAAGACATTACATCATCTAGAAGAGCTGAAATTATAGCTATTGTCCCATTAAGATTCATACGCTTTGTAGAAGGGCCGGTTATGGTAACTTCAGAAACTCGACTAGCTTCTCATTTGCAAGAGAGTAAGCACTGACCATTGACAGGATCCTTAAGAGGTTATTTAGATTTTAATGCCACATGTATTTACTAAATTCAGTTTGTGCAAGTTAATCACTGAATTATTTCCAGGAGTAAAGTTAGCTCAAGTACACACATTAGTTTAAAAACAAACTTTGTAAATAAGAATTCTACAGGCACTCTTGTACTTGTTCAAATTGTTAAATCTGCTAAGTCTTCAAATAAAAAGGCCAAACACATGCTATATTACCTTTTTAAAGGAGCTTGATTAGATATCATCATCCCCATAACGAAATAAATCTCAGAATTTGACTTTTCTTGTATATTTTGGACTAAATATTCAGGTAAATGAAATGATATATATACTTTTGTAACATATACAATTTAATAAATTAAATGAAAAAACATAACATTACCTTAACGTTAATTAGCTTCAAAAATACACTGCACAGAAAATGAAACTATAAAGGTAGATCACAACCATGGAAATCTCAGCTCTTAACTTCCACAGTTATTACAATTAATCAGTTATGAATAAAATAAAAGCTTACTCTTTCAAATTCCTTATCTGGCACTTCAAGTTTTTTCTGTATTCGTTCTTTGATTTTACAAAATGGTTCTTTCTGAAAGTAGAAGGAAAAAATTAACCAGTGAAAATTATTTGTAAACATTGTTACTCTACAGATCAAATTTAAAAATCATTTATTTTTGAGCATACAAGGTGAGGAAAAAGACTATAAATTAAGACAAAAATGACACATTAAACAGCCTTCTGGATGCTTTCTTTCCTACACAAAATTTGACAATTACATTTTGGTAACGCATTATTTCAAGCTAAAGTGACATGAAAGGATGATTAAAATTTTATTTCACTTTTTAAACATGCTACAAAGTATGATATAGATGCAATTTTTTTTTCTGATGTTATATCTACGAGAATGTTTAAAAAAATATTGCAATATCTAGTAAAGAAGCATATACACTAAAGAAAATTACACAAGCACACTGGACTAGTTAGAGTTTCAAAATAATAATACAAGGATTCACCCCCACTGTTATATCACTTTACTGACATTCAGCATGCATAAGCATTTTCTCATAATTGCTTAATAATGTTTAACAAAATTATTAATTTAAATGAAAAACAAAATTTAACGACTATACATACAACAGAAACAACAGAATAAGAAAGTATTTACAGTATTGAACACATCTAAATATTTCAGTATAAATTGTTATAATATTCAACTAAAATTATCACATCCATCATTATTTAAATTTGATTTAATGCAAGTCATATTAAATTTGTTATTCAACTTACATGCTTAACTTTTAAAAGAAAAGGTACACCAAATGTAGAGAAGACTTCCTAAAAAAAAAAATATATATATATATATATATATATATATATATTTTGGAACATAAAATACACAAATTATAAGAAAATATATAGCAATCATTCAAATAATGTTTTGGTTACACATATAAAATAAAAGAATTGGGAAGAAAATGCATTAAAATATCCATTAATATTTCAATCTAAAAAACTATTTTGTAGTTCTAAAAATGTAAAAAACTAAATTTTGTAGTTCAATCTAAAAAACAAAATTCATGGGACGGTCATTCTTTTAGTTTAAAGAGCCACTGGTGTTTTATGTGTAGAATTACTAACAAAGGTTCCAGATACACTTTGTGCATAATATCACGACAATCCCACCAGATACAAAATGTGATCTTTTTGTTAGTCGAATTGCGCTTTGCGGGCTTGAAGGACGCAAAATCAGGGCTGTGGAGTCAGTAGGAAAAGTGACCGAATCAAACGCCCTCATATGCAAACATATACACATAGGTTACAGCTTATTTTTTTAGTATAAAAGATGCAATAGATGCTACAGTGGGAAAATTGATGGCATAGTAAATTATTTATATTAATTAGCATTTATTTTAAAATGGAAAAACTGGCATTAGTAATTTCTAAGGAAAAAAAACAGCTTTGGCAAGATTTTTTTTTTGTTAGAGGACCACAGATCCGATTTGGTAAATTTCAGAGCTGAAGAGTCTTTCCACACTGACTTGAGTAGGAGGAAGAGCTGTTACTGTTAGAGCCATTTCTTTTAACTTTCCACACTGACTTGAGTAGGAGGAACAGCTCTTACTGTTACAGCCATTTCTTTTAACTTTTCAGAATAGATTTTTATAAGTTCTATAAGAGCTGATTTGCGCAAGAGCAATCATATTTCTCTATTTCTTCAAAGGTGGTGTAGAAATCTGGTTTGTATTTTTTCATTTTCATATCTAAAGGCTCTTGGTTCTTTATTCTCATTCGGTTTGCCTTAGCCTTTTCAGAATTATCTAAATATTTCTCAAAATCTCATTCATCAATGGAAGAGGATGATAGATACTCAGTTGCAATGACTCCAGTTTGACTGTCCTGATTTGAATACTTCAATTGTTCTGAGAATAATTTCATTCTTAGTGAAAGTTCATAGATGGCTTTCTTTGCCTTTTAATTTGTTCGCCATTCAATTCAGTGTTCAAATTCAGTGTTTTGGATCTACATATATTGAACCAAGAGAGATCTCATTACTTTAATTTAGAAGTCAAACAACATCTGATTGTCTCTCAATCTAGTTTCTCTTTTTTCATTGAAGAAATAATTCCTTCTGCAGTAAACCTCCATTTCAGAAATCGCACACATCACATTCTTCCATTCTCGTCTCCTGTTAATTCTTCGGATTGTAGCTTTTTTGTGGCTATATTCAGTGTAGAAAGAAGAATTTCCAATTCTGCAACATCATTCCACAGTCTTTCTATTAGTGAAACATTATGATTATCTACATATTCTAAAAAAGTTCTTAATTCTAACAACCTCTATATCTTTCCCATCGCGTTGCTTGATCAATAATTGCTCCTTTTCCTGCTCGCTTCCTAAGAACGGTATCAGATTTTGGGAGTTCTTGCTGCTATTACTGGTTACCTAAATTTACCAATGAGATGTGCAACTAAATGGATCAGTTTAATCAATAATGGCAAATATCACATCCATCTTCCTCCCTTTTATTTATTAATATGTCAATAAAAGACAAAATAACTATGGATATGGTCCATAAATAATAATAATAAAAAAAAAAAAAAAAAAAAAAAACTCAGTTCATCGTTAATTTTTTTTTTTTTTCAATTCACTTTAATTTCATTTCAAATTGAAACTGTCCAACAAAAACTGGAGTTGGAGTCGACCTATTTTTAGCAACTCCAGCTTCCGACTCCTTTTACCGAAAAATCTGCCCAACTCCGACTCCACAGCGCTCCTCAAAACAACCCCTTTTCCAGCCTTGTTGCTGAAGTAAACCTACTTTTCATCACAAGTGATAATCTGGTCCAGAATTTTATCCTTGCTTTGATATTCGAGCAGATTAATGCAAACCTGAACACATCTGTCCTTATCTGCTTGAATCAGCTGATGCAGCACCCAGCAATTGAACTTGTAAACCAAGTTTATGCAATGCACAACACAACTAAAGGACATGGCACCAACGTCCGATTCCTTAGGAACCTATCGAGTGGTTGCATAATGATCTTCTTCCACAAGTTCTCGTAGGTGGGGCTCATTAACATCAGTAGGCCAACCAGAGCCCTTTGCTTCTTGAATGTTATAGTCCTTGTTTTTGAACTTAAAGTCCCAAACCTTCACAATGTCATATGATCAACATCAGTACCTTAAGGTGTGCACATGATTTGGCGACATTCTGTAGCTGACGTTTTGCAATAGAACTGGAATTAAATGATGGTTCTCATCTGGTGATAGTTTCATTTCAGACATCTTGTACTTAATAATGATGATATTTGTTTACAAATTTTACAACACAGTGTTTCTAAAGCAAGTCTTTTTCTTTCCAATTAGAAAAATCATTTGACAAAATATGATTAAAATTGCCAACAGTTTACACAGATGTTATTTGCAGCGGCAGGAAACTTTTGTCACAACCCGATATATAAATTAAGATGTCTGCAATTATATTCCAAGTAAATGTTAAGTCTGAAATGCATATGTATAGTTATTTAGCACCATAATGAGATTAAAACGAGGTTTCACAAAATCAAATGCTTTCTCATTTTGTATAAAATACAGTAAACACAAAGCTGAACAAACAGACTATCTTACCGGCCAACCTTGCCACTCAGCAAAATTAAATAAAATAAAATACAGCAACCACCACTCGAATACACTGCCTATCAGACAACCTTGTCACTCACACTTGGGTGCGTGTGTGCACTGAGCTTTAACGTCATTAAAACTTTACTATTTTCGACACGATACCAATGTGTATACCCTCTCCAATTTATATATAAAAAAAAAAATTGTGTGTTTGCCAATATGGTCTTTCCTTCATCTAATGTTGTATTTCAATTGAATGTAACATCTGTAGTTTCGAAGATACAAACATTCGCAAATACCTCAAATGGTGTCTTAATTTTGGCTTTCCCATCAGACCATTATGGAGGAACACAATCCTACATTACAAAAAAAATAATAACTAAAATGGAACAACAGTTTTAGAATTCAAGTACCTCACCCTCCTTTTAAATATATGTTAGAAAATTATGTTAATGTATGACATGTTGTTGTCTGTAGTCTAATTTGTGACCCCTCAATTTACACTATCACTAAATCATAGATCCCAATGATCTGCTAAATAGCATATTTAGATGATCGATTACAGTACAATAAAAAAAGCAAAAAAGAAAGTCTAGAAAAGTTCAAATCTTAATGTCACACCAGCTGAGGTTTTTTAAGCTTTCACTGAGCAGTTGTTTAACAATAGTAAAATCTTGCAATTTGATGATAATCCTAGAGTGTTAAAATTTATCTAGCTTCTTTAACAAAATGCTCTATGAACCATTTGGTGAAACGTTCTTTTCATGAACCATGAATTTTGTTTATTCCTTTAAACCACAGGTACTCCTTTCAGAGCTCTGGAACTGGTGCTATTACCCACTACCACTGTTTTACATTTGTAAGTTCCAGTTGCATTGCTGCATACTAAAAATAGTAACTCTTCCTTTAGCTTCTTTCACCTCTGACGGTGCATTTTCTTTGCTTGTCACAAATACCTTTCTTGGCAAACATAGCCACAAAAGTTCAGTCTCATCCATATTAAAACCTGTTCTGGGCTAAGATTTTCATCTGCCACTAACACAAAAAATTCATCAATAAATTCCTTTGCAGCATTTTTATCTTCTGAAAGTTTTCCCACGTGCTTTCAGATAACATATACCAAGTCTCTGCTTAAATCAGTTTAGCCAACCGCTGATGAAATTGCACAGCTCCTCTATTTTTAAATCAGCATGAATCTGATTTCTGTTTTTTCTCAGAAGCAGTCCTCAAATTGGCTCCCCCATCATCCCTCATCCACTGCTGGAACCACTCGTACAAGACAGCATTGAGGTTTGACGATTTCGCCTCGTGCAAAGATTTCTAGTTTCGGATTCCGGTGTTGGATTATTGTTGCTGTAAAATTTCAACAGCTTTTTTTTTTTTTCTTTGCCATGTCACAATTTCAAACGATTCTGCTATAAACCGAGAAGTAATACCTTTTTCCATCTTTTGCAAAATTTCCATTTGCCTTGCCGTTAATGCAATAGGTTTAGCTTTTTCAACGTTACAAACAGTAAAATCATGAATGCATTTCTTATCTGCCATTTTATTAAAAAGCGCTCAAATGCAAAATATTTTTAATTTATCCACAAAGTATCCAGATATAAAAACAGCAGCATTAAACAATGCCGTGAAACAATAAGGGTCATAAAATACAACGTGAATCGTGAACTTAAAAGAAAAGTTGACCAAATCATCTGCTTTTTTACCTTGATGCAGATTGGTGGGGAAAAACTTTCACCACGATGTCAATAATTTGGTGTTTCTGTTATTAATCATCCAGTAATTATTACATCATTATTCAGCAAGTATTTTTTCTTTGGTATTTCGTTCTCCATGTTGCGGCTTCCAGAACATATAAATTGAATGTTTACATTTTGAGAGGCAACGTGGATTTCAGGTCGTTGGATTTTCAGTATTTGGCTGTATAAAAACACATTAAAAAATAAACATATTACTTCGAACTTGCCAAAAACAAACTCTGCTGATTTCTATCACATGTTATTTTTACGAGGTCAGTAAATTTTGTGTATCGCAAAAAATTACCATATTACGAAAACGAACATGTAAATTAGATAATCAAACATAATTAAAATTAATTAAATTTATTTATACAAGACCTTCAAAATATGACTCATAAATGCCAGAATTAAACTTAAATCACCATCAAGGTCACGTTCATCACTCTGTTCTAAATCCCTTCTTCTAACGTT